GGAACTGATTGACTAGACCAACAGCATAGCTCAAATCCGGTCTAGTGATAGTCAGATAAATCAAACTCCCAACCATCTGTATGTACAGGCGGGGATCTGCAAGTAACTCTCCATCGTCTAACTCTAGCTTTAGACCTTGTTGTAGAGGAGTGTCTATTGGTTTACAATCAGACATCTTGAACTCCTTAAGCTTATCTAAAGCATATTGGCGTTGTATTAGCCACATATCCTTTCCCTCTGTGATAAACTCCACACCAAGAAAGAATTTAAGATATCCTAAGTCTTGTATCTCAAATTCGGAACATAAGATACTCTTGATGCGGAAATCATCTCCTCATGGTTCCCAGTGATAATAAGATCATCTACGTAGATGGAAATCATCACTACATGAACTCCTGATCTCATGCAGTATAGCGATGAGTCGGAATGACAGACTACAAATCCAAGAGACATGAGAAAGGAATTGATCTTCTCATACCATGCTCTCGGAGCCTGTTTCAACCCATAGAGGGATTTCCTTAACTTACAAACTCAAGAAAGAAACTTCGGATCTTCGTAACCAGGTGGTTGTTGCATGTAGACTTCCTCGCCGAGATCTCCATTGAGAAAGGCGTTCTTGAAGTCCATTTGATGCGATCGCCATCCCTTGTTGACAAAGATTAGCAACCACCAGTTTAATGGTTGCCATCTTGGCAAGCTGGACTAAACGTCTCTTCGTAGTCCACTCCATGCCGCTGTTGTGCGTAGCCCTTGGCTACCAATCCGCCTTGTATCGAGATACAGTGCCATCCGAGTTGTGCTTGACCTTGAAGACCCATCTGCAACCAATCGCTTTCTTACCTTGAGGTAAGTCCACCAATTCCCATGTTTGTTGGTGACGGAGTGCAGCAAGTTCTGTCTCCATGGCTTCAATCCACTCATTTTTGTGCATCGCCTCCTCAAGCGTACTCGGTTCTGGCTCAGCAAGAACGTGAGTCATGTATGCATGATGATCAGCAAGGAAACTTTCATGCATAAATCGCTGAACAGGATGCCGAACTCTCTCAGATTTTTAAGTAGGGCGTGTCGGATGTCTTGTTTGTCTCCCCTTGCTTCGGATCTGAGGTTCCAGCAGCGTCGTTTTGGGACGCTTCATCTAACGGATGAATATCGGTAATCCGTGGTGAGGACATCATATGTTGCAAAATAAGATGATCCTCAAGACTAGAGTCGATGCGGATGGTGCTCGGTGAACTTCATCCGTAGCGGCTCGGTATAGTAGACTTCGACTCTAGGCGTGTGACTCGAAACTCCACTCTGTGAAGGTGCAAAGGGCCGGACTACTTGGCGTAGTTTCGGCCCGGGGAGAGTGGGTATGACCGAACAATCGCAGTGCATACCAAGATTGCAACTCTTCAAATACAACATCTCTACTGATATAGAATTGCCTAGAGGAAGGATTATAGCATCTATATCCTTTCGTATCTAAGGCATATTCAAGGAAAATACACTTCTCAGCTTTCGGATCTAGCTTCTTGCGCTTCTCATCCGGAATGTGTACATAACAGATGCAACCGAAAACTTTCAGAATTGAGTAATCAGGCTTGTGGCCTGTGAATACCTCCATCGGGGTCTTGTTGTGAACTGCTGCAATCGGAGTTCGATTCATCAAGTATACCGCAACGGAAATAAACTTCTTCGCCTGCAATGGTCTAGGCGGGTTCTTCTCGTTCAACATAGCACGGCGACACGCTATGTGACGATTCTTCCTCTCCGCAGCGCCATTACATTTGTGGAGTATAACTGCAAGTCTTCGGCGCAGATGCCATGCTTACGTGGTAAGTAGCGAATTCTCCGATAGAAACTTCGCCTCCTCCATCGGACGTAGACAAAGGATAGATTGTCCGGCATCGTTTCTCCACCAAGGTGTGGAAAGTCTGGAAAGCTGACAACACATCTGAAGAGCTCTTGCTCTTAAGGAAGTAAACCAGTGTAGCGAGAGAAATCATCAATGAAGGACACGAAGTACTCAAAACCAGATAAACTTGGTTGAGAAGAAGTCCATACATCTGTGTGCACCAGCTCGAGAAGCTTGGTCGCTCTCTTACCTGATCCGTTAAAGGGTTGTCTAGCTTGCTTGCCGAACTGACAAAATTTGGACACCTTGCATTAATTTGGCGAAGTGAAGTTGGGCAAACCTGTGACTAGATCTGAACCCGGAAGAGTCTTCAGTCTCTGAAAGTTCATGTGCCCAATTCGCTTGTGCCAAATATCTATGTCAGATACTACAAAGCCACTTTACGTAATGACAGAGTTGGTCAAGCATCGACATTAACCGTAGCATCTAGCTTGAAATGTTCTACCACTCACGCTTTACCTCGAGCTACGACAAGACTGTGGAATCTTCAACAAAGCATCCATCTTTGTTAAAACGCACTTGGAAATTTTGTTCTACCATCTGGCCTACTGATAACAGATTTCGAGTCAGAGTAGGAACATGTAAAACGTTTCCAATTCCGAAAAATTAGATCCTGGAATATCAAACGGAACTTTACCCTTATGCTTAATCTCGTGCTTGGTATCATCTCCAGTCACCATGAACTGAGGAGTCTCCACAGTGTCGAGCGACGCAAACCATTCTTGATGCGGCGTCATGTGGTGGTAGCTCGAATCGATCACCCAATCAGACGAAAGGAAAGCATAACTCCTACGTGTGTCACAACGAGTAGTCGTTCTTCGCCAGCCTACATGGCCCTGTTGGTCCGAAGCGCGCAGATCGTTTTGACGCTTGTAATAGTCTTTGGCATAGTGGCCATTCTTGTGACAAGAGTTGCGGTGTTAACTTGCCTTACGGCGGCGGTGGCGCACCTAATCGGTTGAGGGCCTTGTTCTGCATACGACCTCTACCACCACCATATCCGGCTCCTCTGCCACGACCTCTACCTCGACCTCCAGAACCTGCAAAAAACACACCTTCTTGCGGGCTGGACGAAGCACCAGAAGTGCCCAGAATTCGCACTTCTTCTCCCAACATCATTGGAACGAGTTCGTCCAGCTTGAGAAGAGGTTCTCTTGTCGAAATGGACGTAATGAACTGCTTGTACTCGGTAGGCAGTCCCTGCAATGTCGCACCGATAATCACAGTCGGATCAAGTTGAACATACCGAAGCCAAGGCAAAAGCCTTGGCTTCGGTAGAAACACTCAAATCTCCAAAAACACTCGTTAAGGCCTCCAAACAGCTCCTCAAAGGTTTTGGAAAAGGCGATAACTACCACCAACAACTCCAAATCGCCTGAAAACTTCATGACTACTAAATTCGACCATTCTGCGCAAGACAACTCCCATAGGGAGTTGGGCAATCAGAAATCGGTCGAAAAAGATCATCTTGACCTCCAAAAACGCGATTGAAGATTCTGAGAAAACACGAAATGGTTCCCCATCAATCTACTCGCTTCAGCGGGACACTCCTCACTGATCTCCAGCACTCTACTATATCTAATCTACAAAACTAATGCTCCCACCATGCTCTGATACCATGTTGAGAAATCGACTCTTCAAGGAAACACTCCAAGAAGAGGAGAGCACACCAAAGAGACAAGAGAGAGTGTACAGGAATGAGATGGGGAAGGTTTCGCCTTCCCCTGTATATATAGGGTGAGAACAGGGAAACCCTAATCTTGGGTTAGCCCAAAACAGATCTGTACCATCAGTACGTAACAACCCTAGATCTACGGCCTGTAGTCATCAGGCAAAGATCGACCTATATCAACTCGATGAGCTTGGGATATTAACACTAACTGCCCTAATCCATTCGACGCTTCAGACCTCCTTAACAACTTATTCGTCTTGGCCATCTTCGCGCTTATTTCTCCTATTTGTATTCGGCGACACATACTTTCTCCTAATATCGTTCATTTATATTCCAAAAACAAAAAAAAAATAGTCTTAAACCTCTAAACATGCCCCTACAGGTGCTCTGAACTTCGTACCAAGCTTGATCTACTGTTGATCCATAATGTTCGCTGTGCGCTAGGTGGATAGAGATGAATAGAGAAATCTGGTCGTACTCTTGGGAGATAAGAGAAGAATGTGATATTCTTCTTAGGGGAGGAGCCCGGTGTATTGTGCTACTAGCTCATGGTGAGACAATTAGAGGTAGTGATTGTAGACCTCATGCAGGCCTCAAAGATTCGAAGGATGGGATCACTAAGCGGGCCGTATAACGAGCCGTATGTGGACTTTCATAGCAAATGGAAGGAGGAGCAAGAGCAGTTGACAGAAGAGCTTCGTAGCGCTCTAGACGCCGACATGGGGGAGGAGCAGCTGTAAGAGCTGGTGTGCAAGATTGAGTCACACCACGAAGGACTTAGCAGTGAGGCAAAATGTGATGACAGTGATGCAGCAAGCATGGAAGAGCCCGCTGGAGAACGTGTTCATGTGGATTGGAGAGGGGCGTCCCACCATGGTGTTCCAGCTTGCTTATGCCCATGCCGGGTAGCAATTGGAGGCAGAATTGGTCAAATTTTTGCATGATTTGGACATGTCATAGATGGCATCTCTCTTGTTGAATTGGCTACAATGAATCAGTGATTTGCAAGCAGTCACTCAGAAGGCAGAGGGCGAGCTCGAACATCAGCAGGCCATCCTCCATCAAGGGCTAGTGGATCAGCCGGTGCTTACTTTAGCAGCAGCAGAAACTTTCGGGGAAGCTTCATCGGAAAAGCACCTGGGTGACCAGACACTCACGGAATGACAAGGATGGGAAAAAGTTTGGATCTAGAGGTAGATTCATGTCCAGGGGTAAATATCAAGACAGGTAGACGGTGGTCTGTTGGAAATGTGGCAAGAGTGGTCACTTTAAGAAGGATTGTCGTGTGAAGATCAAGACTACTGATCCTCCTTTGGCCAATGTGGCTCAAGATTTTGATGAGGAGGATGACTTGCTTGAAGATGGACTATGAAGCCAAAGGTATGCCCTATGCAACTCACCAAAAGGTGTAACAGACAAGTTACACAAAGTGGTTGTAGTAGTAAAGTTATGAGTATTCCCGCTTGTCACACGGGTGACCCAGGTTCGATCCCTGGCAGCGACGCCAAGAAAAAGTTGGACTAAACTTCCTTCTTTATGTAACACACAAGTTATACAAAGGTTTTGCCATTTGTACATAATTACAATTCGTTCCCAAGGGAATGAGGTGTTATCTTACTGTCCGCGACGAATATGAATGTTTATGCTTCTTTTGAAGACTTTGGACATGCATAATCCGAAGAGTGATGTGACAGAGTAGTCCAAGACCACTAAGTCAAATTGACAAACCATTACCCATCCATTACATTGCACATAATTACACATGTAATTGAAATTTCACTCCAGGTTTACTGATGGGAGTTTGATCACTCCTTTACAAGCTGTCGACGAGGCGATGTCCTTGATGAAGTTCTACTGCAAAGTGTATCCGACTATGGCTCACGGACGAATACCCGGGTATCTTCACAGGTATTGCGCACCAGTCAAGGCCAATCGAATGCAACATTCAATAGCTTCTCAAGCACTTCGTTCTACCCTCATTACAATTACGGTTCTCAATGAACACTTGTAAAGAAAGCAAGAATCCTACTCTACCACTACTCCTATTTATACAATCTACTCGCACCGATTCCTAATCATTGCCTACACGGATCGCGCCCGACTACTTCTTTGGAAAGTTGTAGATCCCTTCGATGACGTCTCTTCCTTCAATGTAAAAGCATCGACGCTCATCTGCAACTCCCTGATGTCTTTTGCGATCTCCTTTCGATGGACTTGCATTGCTTCCTGGCATTCGCATCCCATGGCCTTATACATCTCCTTCCTTCAATCCTTCGAATCGCAAGGGGTGTTCATTGCCATTGTCAAACGTTCCAACCTTTCAGCCTCCACATCATCACACCGAGCAAAAAGGTATTGCGAGCACCTACTCGCCAAATCTTCTAACCTAGCCGACCGTTCAACACTGATTTCATGCAATTGCTGCTTCGTCCTCTTCAATTGTTGTTGAAGCTTCTCATTCTCCCTCTCCACAAACTTCACTTCTGCGTTCCGAATTTTACAGACTTCACTGTATGTCTGCTTCACCGTGATAGCTTCTGCGCTGCCTCCTTCTTCTGCTTCTCCAGACACTCCACTGACTCTATCAATTGCTTTATAGTATTCGCTTGATCCTTCTTGCCTCTGGCGGTGTGGTTCAAAGAATCAATCGACTCCATGTAACCGTCTTCCTGGGGATTCCACCCTTGGATGTGACTGCTTCCCATCTCGTTCAGCTCCATCAGAACTGGCACCACCATGTTCTCCAGCTTCTGTGCCAACTGTAACACCAAAGAAAGTGGTTCTTCTACTGTTACCTTGGTTGCTTTTACCTTAGGCCTCGATGCCTTCGAAACTGGACATCCTGGTTGCGCGATTTCCTTCAACTTCCGCTTCTTACTGCTGGGCTCTGCAATTATCTCCACACTCGGACTCCTCTTCTCTATGGTCCCCACGGAGTCCTCCTTCCCGAATATTGCTTCTTTCTCCTCCCTTACTGCCTTCGCTCTAACCTCCGAAGGTGTCTCCTGCTGAGTGGGTTGCATTGGTGACTGCACACCAGCATCTTAGTGGGGTCCCACGCTTCTCATCGACCCACTACTGCCATTGCTCGCCACGGGCCCATCGAGATTGCTGACTACATTCACCTGATAGCGCCTTCTCTCCTGTGGTGTTAACCACCCCATGCGCGAATACATATGCACCAAGAAGGAAGAGATGTAAATCACTCCCTTCTCTCCCCCCGCAGCCTCTGTCCCATTGCTTGCACATTGCGAGCGAAGATCTCTCCCCAATTGACCTTTATCGATCCGCCGACGAATCCCTCCACTATTCTCACCTTATGCATACTTACATAAGTAGTTCGTTGTGATGAGAAGAGTTGGTTCAAAGTATACATTATCTTCCGCCGAAAGTCGTCCCGAATAAGATCGATCTTGAAGCCGTTTGTACCCTTCCTCTCCCTAGGGTCAAACCACTTGGTCTCATCGAAGGTGAATGCAATATGCATTGCCGAACCTTCCCAGTCGACTCCATCCTTCTCCTTCGAGTAGTCTCTTCCTAAAGCCTTAGCCCAAAGCAACGCATCCCACGAATATGGATGTCCTCTCCAACCTATCGGGTTGGCTGTCTTCTTAGCTCGAACTTGTTCACACAATTCTGGGCACACGTAGTCCCATCTCCATGCCAAGAACTCCCCGCCCAAGTTCTTTAATCGTGTTAATTCTCCATCTGACCACTCTGGCTTTGGCACCAAAGGTCAATATATTCATGTTGGCATCTTCTTTAATGGCAATTGAATAGCCTCATGAGCCCCCAATCGAATGGCCGATTTCCTCTTCATCCTGTCTACTTGACTCGTCGGCTTGTGCTTGCTCCTCTGCGGCTCGTTGTGCTCGTCGATGTTGTTACTAACTAATCCGTTTGACACTTCAAACCTCCTTAACAACTCATTCGTCTTGGCCATCTTCGTACTTATTTCATCTATTCGTATTCGGCGGCCCAGACTTTCTCCGAATATCATTCTCTTTTATTCCAAAAACAAAAAAAACAGGCTCCAAACCTCTAAGTAGGGTCCAACAAAAGGCGTTGGTGATATATGGATTATGGATAGTGCTTGTTCTTATCACATTTGTAACACATTTGTTACATTAGAGAGTTTTTTCATACTTTTTCAGTATCAAACGGTTTAGTTCTTATGGGAAATGATCAACCCTGTAGAATTGGAGGTGTTGGATCTGTCCAGATTCACATGTTTGATGAAGTCAAACGTACGTTGACTCATGTCAGGTTTATACTTGAAATGAGAAAGAATCTTATCTCTCTTGGAATGTTAGATTCAAAAGGCCTTGAGTGGAGTTCTAAACAAGGAGTACTTGAGGTGAGAGTAGGTGATAAGATTATCTTAAGAGGACACAAGCATAGAACTCTGTATGTGCTAGAGGGCAATACCATTTGTGGTGAAGTCAATCTTACCAGATTCGGCCTAAGATGGCTCATGTTTGGTATTCTAGAATGGGACACATGAGTAACAGGTACTTGACCTTCCTTCGTGATAGGGGCTTATTACCTGGTTTAGGTAAAGTTGACATGGAATTTTGTGAGCATTGCATTATGGACAAGCAACATAGAAAAGCCTTTGGTGTTGGAACTCATAGTTCCAAAGAGTTACTTGAGTATGTACATAGTGACGTGTGGGGACCCTCTCCTAAAGCCTCACATTCTGGGAAGTGGTACTATGTATCGTTTATTGACGATTACTCAAGATTTGTGTGGGTCTATTTTTTCACACAAAAGTCTGAAGTCCTTGCAACTTTCAAAAGTTGGAGAGCCCAAGTTGAGACTCAGACTGGTCACAAGGTGAGATATCTACGTTTGGATAATGGCGGGGAGTATGCCTTTGAGGAGTTTAGAAGTTATTGCAAAGAAGAGGGGATCACTCGTCATCTCATCATGGTTTATACTCCGCAAAAAATGATGTTTCTGAGAGGCTCAACCAAACAGTATTGGAGAAGGTGTGTAGTATGTTGAGCCAATCTAGTTTACCATATGAATTCTAGGCTGAAGCTGTAAATACCGTAGTATATTTGATAAATTTGTCTCCTTCAAGTGCAATCAATTTCTTGACACCGTTTGAATTGAGGCACAAACAGAGGGCTGATTATAGTCTTTTGAGAATTTTTGGTTGTACAGCTTATCCTCTCATACCTAAGGAGAATAGGACCAAGTTGGATCGTACATCCAAGAAGTGTCATTTTGTTGGATATGCAAGTGGTGTTAAAGGTTATAGGCTATGGGATCGTGTAGCTTGTAAGGTGATTGTTAGTAGGGATGTTTCTTTCGATGAGTCTAGCTAGATAATTGAAAAAGGGGAAATATCTCACGCTCCCCGTACTGACAAGGGCAAATCTCCACTCACGGATGTTGTTGAGGGGGAGATTGATCATTATGGGTTTAATGATGCGTCATTATTCTAAGCTCTAGTATTGATGGAGCAAATTTCTGAACAACAAGAATTGGAGGAGCAAGTTTTCGTTGTTGAGCCTCAAGACACAGCACAAAACGATAGAGATCAATCAGGATCATCTACTAGGAAATCATCAAATTGGATTAGTAGAGCTCCCGAAAGGTATGGAACATGGGCTGATTCATCTATTCTAGAGGATCATGATATTGAATCTGAGAATGATGATGACAATGTGTTGATCTTGGAAGAAGGAGAACCTTGTTCATATAGAGAAGCTCAATCCTCTATCAATAAGCTTGAGTGGGATATTGCTATGGAGCGTGAGATGCAATGGCTTGTTGAGAACAAGACTTGGGAGCTGGTGGAGATTCTAAAGGGCCAACCTTTGGCTGATAGCAAATGGGTGTACAAGTTGAAGGATAATTCAGCGGATGAAGAGAAGAGGATCTTCAAAGCCAAGTTGGTGGCTAAGGGTTTCACCTTTCAATCTCTCAGAAAAGTTTCAGATGTTTTTCTCCTCTAGATCTCTCAGAACAATTGGTGAGATTGCTCAAATCTCTATATGGATTGAAGCAAGCTCCTAGGTAATGGAATGCAAGGTTTGATGAGTTCATGAAAGCACAAGGATTTCCACGGAGTGTGTTTGATCCATGTGTTTACATGAAGAAGGTGAATAATGAGATCTTTAGCTTCATTATTCTAGTACTCTATGTGGATGATATGCTCATTTTCGCAAAGGAACAATCCGACGTCGATAGATGCAAGAGGCAACTGAAATCTGCATTCAAGATGAAGGATTTGGGTAAGTCCAAGAGGATATTAGGTATGGATGTTCATAGGGATTTGAAGAAGAGGAAGCTATGGTTAAGTCAGGACAAGTACATTCAGCGTGTGCTTGATAGGTTTAACATGGCATACTCTAAAGGAGTGTGGACTCCTTTGGCAGCACATTTTAAGCTCTCAACAACTCAATGTCCAATTGATGCAACTGAGAGAGGAAAGATGTCGTCAATTCCCTATGACAAGGCAGTGGGCAGCCTCATGTATTTGATGGTGTGCACT